TGTAAGGTTTAACTAGGCTAATCCAAATCTTAAAATGTCCCTGAAATGACCCAACCTGAAGTTTAAAACTGGCTATAATTATGTTACGAAAGTGGTTTCTGGTTGAAAAGAGGCCTCTAATCCAAGCCCAGAAACTCTGAAATCTACTTTTGTTTAAAGGTCAGTAAACTGAAATAATGGTTACAGTTCTAGGAGATAGCTAGGTGGCTCAGTGGATAGAATGTTATGCCTGAAGTCGGGAAGACTTGACTTCAAATTCAGCCTCAGACACTTACTGTCTTTGTGACCCTGGACAAGTCACTTAACCTCTATTTGTCTTAATACACTGCAGAAGAAAATGGCAAATCACTCCAATATCTTTGCTAAGAATACCCTATGGATAGTGTTATATATGAGGTCATGAAGGGTTGGATATGACTGAAAAACAGGAAGCACATTGAAAAAAAAAAACATCACTAGCTTTGTGGTCATAGAAAATGAGTTCATATGTCGCTTGTGATGCTTATTCCCTGTGTTACTTTGGGCAAGAGGCTTATTATTCCTTTGCTTCGATTTCTTCATTTGTTAAATGAAGGGATTGGACTAGATTACCTCTAAGCTTTTTCCAGTTCTAGATCTATAATGTTATTTATAAGCTGATGGCTTTTGTTCCATTATGGACAAGAAAAGAGTAGAGTGATGCTGCATCTCATGTCATCATTTACAGGAGATAAAGGCTTCAAAGGGATCTGTCATACTGGATAGAAAATGTACCCAATCTCTCTTGCAAAGGTGAGGTATATGAAATGAGAGGATATAACATGAATATACCTATTTAGAAGGTTTCAGAAGGAGAAGACAGTACACTCATCAGGTAAGAAAAGGGCCATTCAGCTGTAGCACACTCCTCTCTCATGTGAAAATAGGGCTTATGATAGAAAATAGTGTGTATCTTAGTAAACAGTAGGTCAAAAAGAAATTTTAAATTTTAGGCTCTGCATCACCAAGTAGCTATTCTATGCTCAAAAATAAGTGGTAACCTGGCTTTATGGATAGATTTCCAGACTGAGTCGGGAAGACTTATGCTTGATCCTGCCTCTCTAACAAGCTGTGTGACCCTGGGCAAGTATCTTAACCTCAATGTACCTAAGACAACTAGCTTGGACTTAGCTGCTGATTAATATGATGCCCTTTGTGTAGACAAAGGGGATTCCCCCAGTAAATGAAGCTACTCCCAAACTTCAGTTTCCTAATTTGTGCTTTTCAAATGAAAGGATGTTATTGTACTTCAGTTAGGATCTCTAGTGAGTAATTATTTTAGCATCCCAATTTAGGAAAATACAAATTTTTAATGGAATCATGAAGGTTTTCATTTTCTAAGAATGCAAATCAATGAATTCTCTATCTGGAAATTTGTGTGAATTTGTGTTATTGTCAGATTTATGTTGACAAAGAAATGTAGCTTGCATTGCTTATGCAAATTGGCTGAAAATGTCAGTTTGCAGTTTATATGTATTTATGCTTCATCCCCTAATTAATAAATTTGGAGGGGTTTGGGGGAAAGCTCAAGCTAGTCACTGCTTTTACTCCACCATCTTGGCTCTGCCCCTCCTAATTAATAAATTAAGCCAAAATTATGTAAATTTCACAAATTTTTAGAAACAAGTCTTTTTTTTTTTAGGTAGTAAAAAAATATCTTTGACCTGAGAAATGACAGATTTAAATTCATCTGAATTTGACCTATCAGTCAGTTAGGAAAAGGGAAAGCCCAAAGAGTAGTTCTCTGATGAATAAGGGAAAGGACTTCCTTACTGGACACATTAACCTCATTAGTGTTAATCAGTTACCAAGAGCAATCACAACTCACTCTTGTAACAACAGGAAAAACTATTTCCTTCCTAGATTAAATTCTATTCTGATCTAGCTCTGTGTCTGTATGCAAACCTTTTGACAGAAAAAAAAAAGTGGATAAATATTTTTTTAAAAAAGAAACAATCTTTTATGTTGTTTTGCTATCTCCATCTGAAGGTAACATTAGGAGGTTGGTTTAATGTCAGTTTTCTGTGGTTTTGATGCAAAATGCTTATGGAGAGAGATCATGCCTGCTTATCACTCACAACTCCTAGGTACAGTGAGGGGGTATATAGCAGACATGCCCAAAAAGAATTATGCAAGCATTCTAGATGCTGCATTTATGCCCTTTGCCCAAGAATGATGAGACCAGGTTTTGTTTCTTTAAAAAACTGCATTTAAACAGTAGAATCACAGAACTTCTGAGTTGGGAAAAAAAAAAAAACAAACCTTGGGTGTCACATAGAACAAGCTGTTCCATCTCTGCATCTTGGAATCATTGTCTTCTTTCAAAGATCATCTCATGTACTGTGGCCTTTCTTGACCACCCAGTTGTTTAAGTACTCTCTCTCTTCCTTCACTCCTTTCTTGTATTATACTTACTTTCATATTTGTTGAATTCCTTACTAGAATGTAAGCTCCTTGAGAGTAACAACTGTGACTTTTATGTCTTTGTATCCTCTAGTACTTAGCATATTATCACCTGTATTATCATAGGTATTTAACAAATGTTTGTTGAATTGAATTGAACAGGAATCCTCTTTGTTACATAGTCTACAACAAGGGTTCTTAAGATAGTATTTTGGAGCTGGGAATGGTGTCTGTGAATTTAAATGGGAAAAACTTTTATCTTTAATTTTCACTCATCTCAAATTGAAATTTAGCATCAATAATGAATGTAAGCAACAAAACATTATTTTGAGAAGGGGTACATGGGCTTCATCAAATTGCCAAAAGAGTCCATGTCCCCCACCCCCCAAAAAGCTAAGATCCTCTGCTAAACAAGGAATCATCCATTTTTTTGTTTGAAAGCTTCCAATAATTAGGAATCCACTACTTCTCGAGTATGTCATACTGCTTTTGGATAGCCCTAATATATGTATGTACGTGTGTATATGTATATATGTATGGATATATACATATAATATATTTTAACATTAATTAAGGAATTATGTATCCACAACTTCGATCCATTAGTTTTTAATTTTTCACCATGGGTTCAAATTTGTTCCATGAACTTCATGGAAGCCTGTTGTTCTTATTCAATAATCAATAGCATATTCAAAAACTGCATACTGATATAGGGAGGAGAAAACAGAAATAAATTGGGATTTCAATTATGAAGGTCATATCAAACCTAATTTAAGGAAACTTACCATCTTACTCTTGGACGGACTGTGCTGTACAGAGAAGTAAACATGTAAGGGCTGAGTTGAAAATGAGTCATTGTTGGACTAAGGTAAAGTCTTTAATTTTAACTTTTCCATCTCCCAAAGATGTATTTATATCTCTGTGTGTATGTAATTAATTGCAGTGGTTACTTTTTATTAAGAACTCAATAATTATCTGAAACCCAATAGCAATATTTTTCACTTGGTTAAATAATCCTAAACTATTGGCTACAAAACCAACACAACTAACAAACTGATAGCACCCTAATGATGAGCAGGAAGTTTGCATATTACAATTCTTTCCTCAATACATTTCCTTCTGTTCACTAAGTTTGAATACATGTCAGAGTCTAACCATGATGTGAAGATATGTTAGACTCTACTTCTAGCCCTTCAATTTGCGGCTGACACTTGAATGTGTGTTATTACAGCAGGGTACTAAGTCAAAGCACAAACCAACTTGCTGCTGAAGCATCTGGACCTTTGAAATATGGCAGTAAAAAGTGGAAATACTGTGTCTTCGGTATTCCTAAAATAACTTCCCCATCTCAGGTAAAGTGCAGTAAGTCATGGAACTTCCTGACTACAAAGCCATCTTGCAAATAACCAAGTGGTTCTTTTCTATCAAGTCAGATCACAACAAAGCATTATGGGAATGCGAAGTTGGCAAGTTTGAAGACATAGCCTTAAGTGGGTTTTTATTTGTCTTACTTTTTTTTTTTTGCGTGAACCTGAAAATCCTCATGAAGTTACTAACACAATATTTTAATGGTTTGTGGCTTCTTTTTTTAAAGGAAAGAAAACAAACCAGAAATATAACTAAACAAAAAAGAAACAACTAGAAACATAAAACACTATCTATTGAACCTTTTGAAAAAATAAGATTCTAACCCAACTCCAGTTTTTCATTTTTTTTAATATACACAGAAATTCGATGATATCTGTTCTCTATTATATCTATAAATGCTTAACTTATGGCAAATCTCAAAAAAAGAAGACTTGGAAAAGTCTGCAGTAAATAAAAGACGCTGCAGTTGTCTGCTGGATATCATAATCATATATAGCTCATTATAAAGAATCCAAACATCAAAATGTATCAGGGTCTAAGTGGGAAAACAAACTCCTAGGCTTCCAATAGCCAAAGTTCTACTGGATCCCACATGATACATTTTGCAGCATCCCAGAAGATACCATGGCATGACTCAGTATTAATTTTGCATTTATTGTCCTTTGTGGCTCCACAAGTTCTCTAGACACATAGAGAACAGAATCACATAAATATACTACCATGTAACTGCAGATTAAATCCCATGAACAACATTTTTTTCTGATAATACTCAGAACATCCCATGAGGATTAAATAATATTTACCACATATTATGACTTTGCTCTCATTTTAATTTTCATGTTAATACACTTGTCCTTCTTCCTCTCCACAAGTACTTTTTTTGCAAATGGCTACTTAAAATTGTTTATTACTTGTGAATCTGAGAGGGATCTGTTTACAGGAAGTTGGGCTTCCCACCAGATATGATTTCTATTACTTATCAAAAGTCTTAATTTTGGTTTTCTTATGTAATTATCACTCATTCCATGGAATAGGATGCTTTTAAAAAAGCTATATTTACACATGTATTCTTATACATATATATGCATTGAATACACACACATATACACCTTTAAAATATATACACACATGTATAAATTCACATATATGTATATATTGGTTTTTTGCAAATGAAAAAAGTTAGCAAGCAAAATAAGACTGACCTGACCTACCTGTACTAGGCTCACATTCAACAAAGTCTTCATCGTCACTGGAACATTCAGCAGATGAAACAAGGTCATCTGATGTGGGCTATTCAAATCAAAGAAAAGAATGAGAGGAAAAGAAAGGAAAAAGAAGTAAGAAAACATCATGAACAAAGACATATGAGGTCTAATACATAGGATATCCTTCTCTCTAAAGTAGGCCTGCTATAGGAGTGAACCTTTTGAATATTTAGCAGTAATCAATGACTTTCAGTTCTGGCAAACCAAGTATATATCCTATGCCTTAATAGGCGGTCCTGAAAAAGCATATGGGCTGGGACCATACTCCATCATGGCAGGTAGGGGTATGATAGAGCCAATGCCAACTTGTGAGAACCATTGTTAAATTTTCAGTGTGAGCATTTACATCTTAGAAATCAGCAATCACTACAAATCAGGGATTAATGTACTGTTTTGTGGAATTCTAGACTTAAGAAAGTATTAATAATCCAGATTAAACTGAAAAAGTGTGCATGCATACTTTTTTTCCCCCTTGAGTCCAGTTGTTAAACATTTACCAGCATACCCCTGTATTGTTCTATATATATTGCTTGAACTCAACAGTAGTACAGCAGAAAGCTCAAGGAATTGTCATCACCAGACTGGAGGCCTGAAGACTGGAGGCTAATAATTACCAAAATAATTGGAATCTATAGAGTGCTTTAATGTTTGCAAAATGTTTAATATTCATTAACTCATTTGAGCCATACAGCCCCTCTGTTGACAGTACATAACTCTCATGGCAACTTGGCTTTAATCTCTATTCTACCACTGATAAATATTTGTTGAATTAAATTGAATTCATGATCTATTTGCAACATACATTCCCAGACTTAAATTAAATGCTTTCACATATTCTATAATTTAGTCAAACTGGTCTTCTTGCTGTTATTCCCATATAACATTCCATCTCCCATCTCCATGCCTTTGCACAGGCTGTATGTACCTAATTCTTGAAACATATCCCTGCCTTATTTCTACCTCTTAGAACCCTTAGTTTCCTTCAAAGCTCAGCTCAAGCATCACCTCCTACATAAGTCCTTTCCTAATTCCTCCCTCCCCAATAAAAATTGTACTTTTAAATTTATTTTACATATGTTTCATACATACGCATATGTACATACATAAATATATCAACATACATACATATAATCTCTACTGATGGAATGTAAATTTCTTAAGGGAACAAGCTAATTTTTTTTCTTTCTACCCCCTGAGCCTAGCACAATGCCTGGCACATAATAGTCACTTAATAAATACTTGTTGCTTGAATGACTGAATTAGTATGAAACACCTGCGCTCACTGTGGTAGAGATAGAGTAGAAATAACACAAGTTCTTCCTCCTCCTGGGGTATATAATACCATGAGGAATATAACACATAAACAAACAACTATAATAAAATATGAGATGTGGTACATTTATGAGAAGCACAGAGTGCTATGTAAAAAAAGTATGGAGGAGAAAAAAATCAGAAAGATTAAATGAGAAGCCAGCTATGATTTCATCAAAGAATTTGGAGAATTCCAGTCATCTGAGAAGCAGAAGTGCAGCCAGAGAGCATGGCTGCTGAAGGATGAACCATGTGAGTGTGAAATCCAATTCAAAAATCCTCCTTGGAATCCTCCTATGTATTTCAGTGCAAGTTAAATATCATACAGGGCAGATAATTTGTGTGTGTGTGTGTGTGTGTGTGTGTGTGTGTGTTGTGTTTGAGTATGCTGGCATAATTAATGAACAGTGTCTATCACAGTCTGTTAGGGGAAAGCATAATGGCCTCTCTCCCCAGAAGCAACTCCTTCGTGTAATTGCTGCAATTAGCTGAATTAGGAAGGTGGACCAATAGGGAAATTCTGTGACAGTCCCTAGACACAGGTCAGACTGTTCCTGAAGAGATCACAAAGCTACTTTTCCTTGGCATTTTCAGCTGGATCCCCTTCCCCAATCCTCCAGCCTGCTGCAAAACGCCACTGTTGGAGCCATGATGCTGAGAATACTGATGGGAGAAATATATGAGACTGTGGAGAACACATCAAGAAGATCTTTTGCTGTAGTTGGCAAGAGCTCCATTCTGTATGTCACTGAGTAGCACTTGTCCCATATCCAGCTCATGCTGTACTCCTTTAATGTACTACTGAAGTAACCAATATATTAATTCATGGGCTGATTTAACCACTTCCAGCTGCCAAAAATCATGGTTCCATATTTCAAGTAGAAAACACTCTCTTACATGGTTTCAGTATGTTTGATATTTCCAGGAAGGAAATGCCAATTGCAGGTGCACTTGTCAGGAATATTATTGTCAAGAGCAACTCTGAACAGTGGAAAAACCCCATTTGGTCCCTAGCTCCATTCACCTGATAGGGAAGGAGGAGTTCCCAAAGCCACAGTACTGGCTCACTTCACATCTGGCAGGGAGAGGCTTCCAGCCTTGCTCCTCCTTAAGGTTAGTAGAACAACATTTTTCCAAATGTGTTTCTTTTAATTAGACATTCAGGTTTGTTTGTCAGTTACTGGAACTAATGGCGGTTTGCATCCTAGGGCAGTATTTTGGGGTGGAGAAATGTTATTCATGGTTTATACTATACTAACTGCTCTTTGCCTATAAAAGGATAGTCATAAGACTATACCATTAGAATGTGAGTTCTTTCAGGACAAGAATAACATGTTGGTCTTTCTTTGTATCACCAGCAGTTAGCACAGTGTGTGGCACACAGTAAGAGCTTAACCAATACTTAGGGACTGAATGAATCTGCCCAAACTAGTGATTTCAGTGGGGAATAGGATTAAGATAAATCAGAACAACAAAATAATAGCTAAGGCATAAACAAAAACAGAAATCTCAATATCTGTCCTTAGCTTTAGGTATCCTTTAGATAAATCAAACTCAACATGGCCCAATGGAACATCATCTTCCTCAAAAACTTCAATTCAGCATGCCTTAAGCACCAAGTGTAAGGAATTGTGCTAGGAGTGGGGCACACAAAAACAAAAACAAAACAATCCCTTCCCTTGAGAAATTAACATTCTACTTGGGGTGGAGAGCATAGTGGGAATACAACATATACACAAAAAAAATACAAAGCAATTACTGTTGTGAGACCATAGGATCATACAGCTAGAGCATGATGGAAATTGAGAGGACATTTAGTCCTACTTCCTTTACAGATGAGGAAACTGAGAACCAGGGAGGATAAATGACTTGATCCAGACCTCAGGTATGTATCAGAGAAATGAACTGAATTCAAGTCCTCTGATTGTATTCTTTCCCATGTACCACATATCTTTCCTGTACCACCACCCTTGGGACAGCTGGGTAGTAGAGTGGATAGAGCATTGAGCCTGAAATCAGAAAGACTCATCTTCCTGAGTTCAGATATGGCCCTAGACCCCTCTTAGCTGTGTGACCCTGGATAAATCACTTAACCTTGTTTGCCTCAGTTTCTTCATCTGTAAAATGAGCTGGAGAAGGAATGGCAAACCACTCCAATATCTTTGCCAAGAAAACCCTAAATGGGGTCATCAAGAGTCAGACATCACTGAAATGGCTAAACAACAACACCATTATTCTCCTGGTAACCTATGTACACAACTTGTGACTCCTCCTCAACTTGTCCTTCTCTTTCAACCCTCATATCCAATCAGTGGGCAAATCTTGCTGATTTTACTTCTACAGTCTGTCACATTCATTCCCTTCTCTCCAATTAATGGCCCTAACCCTAGTACAGACCCACAAACTCTCGTTACCTCTTGCCTCAATAGTTTGTTTTTCAGGATCTACCCTAAGCAATCTATTCTCCATGCAGCTGACAAGATAATATTTCTGAAGCTCAAGTCTGATCAAATCATTGTCCTGTTCATGAATCTTTGATGGTTTTCCGTTGCCCCCAGGGAAAAAGATATAGATTCTTCAGCTAGATGTTTAAAGACATTCGCAGGTAGTGTTCTTCTTCAGTTCTATTCTTCTTCAGTCCCTCTGTCTTACACAAACTATCCCATTTCTTGTTCCCTGAATTTGACATTCCAATTTCCTGTTCTATGCTTTTATACACACTGCTTCTTATTCTTGGAGTGCAATTTCTCATCACCTCTTTCTTGTATAATTGTTAGTTTTTTTTTTAAAGCTCAGTTTAAGTACCACCTTTAGGAAAGAGGCCTTTTCTGATTCCCCCAGTTGTTAGTACCCACACCCAAATTATTACTTTTTTATTTTGCATATATTTCATTTACTTACGCATGTAACTGTTTTATTCAACCAGTAGAATGTAAACTTTTTGAGGGTAGGCACTGACTCATGCTTGTCTTTTTATCTCCAGTGCTTGGCATATAGGGGCACTTAATAAATATTTGTTGAATTAAAATTAGGTTGGATTGAGCTTGAATTTTTTGCTTTTTGGTGAGTAAGTGGCAAACAAATGAAACTCTACCAAAATCTTATTCCATTGTCCTTTAGGCAAATCTGGGTTCTTAACTGAAAATTTAACCAAAGACAAGCTCTGGCAACTTTGCCAACTTGGAAAGATGTTGAGGATGGGTCCTCTGTTTGAGAATGTGTCTGTTGTCCTAAAAGCAGTCTAGATAAGTTTGTTGATATTCATCTTCAGGTAGGCCACAGTGTGATTTTTTTTCCCTCCCTTTGGCCATAGCATTAGAAAAAAAACAGCAGAGAAGTCATGGGCTTGATTGTGATCTCTAGGGGATTAAGTACATACATTGGCCAAATGGCAGATCCTTGAATTATCCAGGAATACACACATACACACACAGACTTAGAGACATAGAGACATACATATATACATATATTTATATATGCATATATACATATATACATACATACATATACATCCACATACATATATACATACACACACACACACACACACATACACATATATATGAAAAAATGCTGATTGACAAGTTTTAGGAGTAAACTGAGCCCACCTACAACTTGAGTTAATCTAAACTGTTTTAAACATCCTACTTATTGCCTTGGCTTATACTAAATGAGTCCATGAGGACTAATTTGTCCAACACTTTCCCAAGGATG